ATAGAGAATAAAATATTAAGAGCTCTTATGAGTTAGAACCAAAGCCTACTGTGCATTTAGAGAGAATTTACATAGAGGGTGTATTTATAGAGAGTGCACTTATGGAGGTTTCACTGTATGAAGTAGTAGACTTTAAAATGATCTTAAATGATCTCAAATGACATTATTTTTATTATAAATTTTAAGTTATCATTAAAAAATAGTAAATGTCTTATATTTGCCATCATTGTCAAGCATTGGTATACTCAAAATTTCAGCAAACACCAATTCATTGCAAGATTCACCATGAAAAAATTGCATAATTATAATCAATACTTCATACTTTATCAAAAGATCAATTTGATACAGAATTGAATGGTTATAATTAGGATAACTGGGAATTTTACTATAAATGTTAATTTTCGAAGAGTAAGTATTGAAAGAATTTTGTATAAAATTATGGTTTATGGATACAATTCATCTTACTTTTCATTAAATAAGATTGATTGTAAGGCAGAGATTAAAGTTAGTATCACTATATTTGTAATTCCATCAAAGGCTCAATTAAATCTTGAATGAAAATAATGAGGATGTGATTTCCATCCCAGAAAGTCCATGAGAAAATGTTACGATGGATTAATGAGGTGAGTATATTAATTGTGATGGCTATTTGTTTATTTGATATCTCTGATATTAATGATTATCTAGGAAGGAGGATCAATCGATCCTTTTGCGCACAAAACTTCTAGCGATGGTATTGAATTGTTACACGAATCTGCAATATTATTTCTACTTGAAATAAAAAATGAGATCGCAACTGGGGTTGTCATATGTTCTGCGCTGGGCTCGAAGTAGTTGTAATTGTCCATCGCAAAGTGAAAATCTATGAGCGTGGTGTTAATAATGATATCATTTGACAAGAATTCGATAATCCTACTCGACTTAATTCACGCGTTCTTCCCAGATTTGTATATTTTTTATTTTGTAGATATGGGCGGTTTTCTATTAAAATCACTCATTAGCAAAAATAAAAAATGACAGCAATAATGTGGACCTTTGACGCGACTAATGACCTAATCAATCTACGATAGAATTATCGAGATGATTTTGAGAATTATGAACATGTTGCCATTTGGGATAGAATAGCTCAAGACATTAACTTAGATCATACAGTACACGTTACGGTTCATACTATTACTTTGTTCGTCACTTGATTTTAATAATAAATATGTTTTAAAGATGATTCAAATTTAACCAATAGTTAAATACGTTGTAAATTTTTTACATCCGAAAGTTTTTGATCTTGTAAAGTGAGAACGGTACACATTTATTTGTTAGAAAAAAAAATCGAATCATATTTACAAATTCCAAGATAATCGATTCCATATAAGTAAAAATTCAACTTATATTTATATTGTTAACCTCTTCTAAGAATACGTTGTTGCTATTGCAAAAGTAAAGCGAATTATTACTAAATTTAATCTTTTCGACAAATATCTTTGAATATTCATTTGACATACCAAAGCCAGAATACGACTTTTCTGTTCAGGAGGAAACATCTCAACTTGTTGGGGTGTAAGATTAAGAAGTTGGAGAATAATCGTCTAAAGAAATGATAATACAGGTAAAGTGCATTCGTGCACTTAAAAGAGGAACGATAAATTTAAATGGTTAAATGCTTACGGCGTTTTGTTCTTGAATTTGCAAGTCGCCTACAAATTTTTTTTTTTTTTTAAATAAGAAAGTATATCGAGATATATAGATATATAAAAAAAAAATTTTACTCATAAAGATGTTATTAAGGTTCGTTCCGGTTTGTAAAGCTTGTAATACGGCTGAACTTTGTATTTGAGATCCGTAATTGAACGTTGTTCCAGATTGAATTCCTTGCATAGTTGACATATGAGGGAGAGGAGATTGTTGTACAGATTGCTGGATGGTTTGAGAAAATTGCTGCGGAGGTTGCTGAGGAGATTGCTGCAGATGTTCGCGTTCTTTCAGTTGTTGCAGCTGCAAATGTTGTGGATATTGATGTTGCAGCAAAGGTTTCTGTTGTTGGGGTTGGGGTTCTTGATATTGTTGCCGCATTTGTATCTGATTCAGTTGAGAGGGTTGAAAGTTCATATTTGTCATCACCGAGGTAGGAAATGTTGTAGGACAAATTTGCTTAGGCTGTTGTTGTTCAGATACCACTAACTATTAAAAAAAAAGAGTCAAATAAATATGATCATAATATAATAAATGGAAATCTCGCAACGCGAAAGCAATCCGATTTTTTTTTTTTAAAAAAAAAAAAACCTTTAGAATATCCCCATCGACAAGATCAAGTTGAAACAAGATTCTAAATAAATCATAAGCCAATAGGGGATTTTGTAGTAATAATTCTTTAACTCGATCTTCATTAGTAGATTGAGAATACAGCTAAAAAGATATAAAAAAAGTGAAAAACTTTAAAGGTTATAAAAATGAGAGAAAAATATAATTCATCTTTTTTTTTTTTATTTACCTGTAAGGTTAATAAGACATCAAGAAGTTGTACTTCATTCATTCCGGATGATGAATCCGATTTATCAGAACTTTTGAGAGGAGTAGGTAATTGTTGTAGTAATGATCTTTGCTGTTGAGAAAGTTGTTGAGCCGACGTTTTAAAAGATGGATCTAATCTGTAAACTTCATTAGCTGTCGAAGGAGGTTTATTATCGGCGTATCCAACAATTAATCTTTGTTCTTTCATTTCTACGTTATTTAAATTTCTTATAGCACTTGCGGCAGTAGCAGGATCTTTTTTTTTTTAATAACAAATAAATGATAGTTTTACCGACCGATGGTGTAAATTTTTACGAACGCAAGTTTTTTTTTTTAAAAAAAAGTAAATACCGTGATATTCGCAATAACAATATCCTGTAGATTGTTTATTTTCTTTTTCAAACACTAGGCTTTTTTTTTTTTTAGCCGAAAATATCAAGGTCAAAAAAAAAATGAGAAAAAAAAAAAAAAATATATATATAACGCGACCATTTTTTTCTTTCCGTCTTATTATTAAAGGTCACAAACCGAAAAGAGACTATAGGTCCAACTTGTTGAAAAACTTCTCTTAACTTTATTTCACTTGTACCATAAGGTATATTTTCAACTAAAACAATGTATATTCAATATTAAAAAATAAAAATTTGTTTTTTAAAAAAACGTATCTTAATCGTTATGTAAAATATGACCTTACCAAGAATTATATTGCAACCATTTAATCCACTCATGATTTATAATAAATAAAGATTTCAACCGATTAATAATTGATTAAATTTAACAAAAAAGTACTTGATATTTATACAAAAACTGGTTGTTTGAAATTACCAAGATTTTTTACATGTTTATAGAAAAAATAATATTAATAACATCATTCTAATTTCCATTAATGGCAACGTCGCTCCCCTCCTCTAATGAATCGGTAACCCTTCCCTCATGACATCATAATCATAAAGTGAATTTGAGGATTTTAATGAAACGGTCCAAACGAATGGAATTTTTTTTCTTTTCGCTTGCGTACGATCACGTTTATTACATTCGGATAAAATTAATGTCTGATTTAATTAAATTTGTATTTTCGTTGTCTTTATTGGTATTGATAACTTGTTTTGGTGTATTTGATTCGGAAATCGAATCGTATGTCGGTTTTGAAGACATTTTTACGTAGAATCTCTTTTTTTTTTTTTATTTTTTTACAGTATTTAGTTTATAAAGAAAAAAAAACCCCCCCAAATTTTTTTTTTTTTTTCGTTTCCTTAATATTTAATCAAAACATGTTTATTTACCATATTGATATTAACTTAACAATGAAAGCTCAGAAAATGTTTCTAATAAATAATAAAATGTTTATTAATAAATATAATAAACCCGATTAAATTTTTATGTACACTACACTAATCTTATTTAATAATCATATACTTCAACTTCGTCTTTTAATTTCCAAGAAATTTATAATATTAATGATAAAGGTATGAGATATATAAAACAAATTGATGTATTTAATAAATAAAATAGCCCCATACCAATCATTCAACGCCATCAATCTTTAATTTCTCAATACTTTTCGATTTCTTCATTAATTCCCTTTTGGTTTCCTTACTACCTACCACCCGCTGTATTAACGTATGCTGCATCCGACCAAACTTCATTATTCTTTTCCATTGCATTAACTCTCTTGGTTATTCTTCTAATTACGCTACGCTTTAATCGAATTTTGAACGCTTGCTCCTAGTGGTATATGCAACAAGACAAGAAATCGAGAAATTTCTGAATTCGTTGGACAAGATTTAGTAAACGATCCCTTGAACAGTCCATAATGGCCAACCCAATCCTGAAAAATAGTTTCACCCCTAAAAAAGGAACCACGATGATTAACGGGAATGAAATTTGGCAAATTTTAAATTTAATTCAAAAACATTCAAAATAACCAAACGCGTAAAACTCAGGCCCATGTTAAAGTCTGTGAAAATTTTCATAAACCACTGAGTAATATACATAAGTGATAGAATATCATTCTCCGCCTAAATTATTTGTAAAGTATAAAATCATAAACTTTGTCTGCTAAAATCAACTTTTAAAGAGAAAAATCAATCTAAAATTACCAAATGCTGTGCCAACTTTGGATCGTGATCAGCTAATAGTAGCTCAAAAACCATCGAATCAATTCGAACCTGAGATAAAGATTGGTGTGAAATATCCAATCCAATCAAATATATATTCTTTACCGAATGCAAGTTTTTTTTTAAAAAAAATAAATACTGTAATATTCGCAATAACAATATCCTGTAGATTGTTTATTTTCTTTTTCAAAAACTAGGCTTTATTTTTTTAGTCGAAAATATCAAGGTCAAAAAAATTTCTATCGAAAAAAAATATAAAACGCGACATTTTTTTTTTTCTTTCCGTCTTATTATTAAGGTCACAAACCGAAAAGAGACTATAGGTCCAATTTGTTGAAAAACTTCTCTCAACTTTATTTCACTTGTACCATAAGGTATATTTTCAACTAAAACAAAACTTTTAATTACATATCTTGATATGTACAATATGACCATTTAATCTGCTCATGATTTATAAAAAATAAAAAAAAAATTCCCGTAAATTGTACTTGATATTTATGCAAAAACTGATTTTTTCAAAATGTGCAAAATTACGAGATTTTTTACGTTATAAAAAAAAAATAATGATAATAATATCATCTTAATTTCCATTAATGGCAACGTCGCTCCCTTCCTCGTCCCCTCCCGATTCTAATGAATCGTTACCCCTTCCTTCTACGACATCATAATCATAAATTGAATTTGAGGATTTTAATGAAACGGTCCAAACAAATGGAATTTTTTTTCTTTTCGCTTGCGTAGGATTACGTTTTATTAAATTCGGATGAGGTTCAATAAAATTGATGTCTGATTTAATTAAATTTTGTATTTTCGTTATCTTTATTGGTATTTGTACTTGTTTTGGTGTATTTGATTCGGAAATCGAATCGTTTGTCGGTTGAGAAGACATTTTTACGTAGAATCTCTTTTTTTTTTTTTTTAGTTTATAAAGAAAAAAGAGAAAATTTTTTTTTTTCGTTTCCTTAATAATTAATCAATACATGTTTATTTCAAATTCCAAAGACAAATCATTTAACATATTAACTCAATAATGAACTTGTTTAATGGCAGAAAAAATGTTTCTAAAAGAATGATTTTCACGTTCAAACATTTTTATTTGGAAAATAAAATCATATGAAAAAGGAGTTGTCTCACATTCAATGATAAAAATATTCATTTATTAAGTTAGCAAAATAAATAATAATGTTTATTAATAAATATAATAAACCCTCCCATGATTGATTAAATTTTTATGTACACTACACTAATCTTATTTAATAATCATATACTTCAACTTTGTCGTCTTTTAAATTTCAAGAAATTTATAATATTAATAAAGGATATGAGATATATAAAAATTATTAAGTAAAACAAGTTGATGGAATTGTTTCATGAAAAAAAAAAAAGTGTTGTATTTAATAAATAAAAATAACCCCATATCAATCATTCATTCGCCGACTAATTTGAATTCAACGCCATCAATCTTTAATTTATCAATACTTTTCGATTTCTTCATTAATCCCCTTCTGGTTTCCTTACTACCACCCGCTGTATTGACGGATGCTGAATCCGACACAATTTCATTATTCTTTTCCATTGCATTAACTCTCTTAGTTATTCTTCTAATTGCGCTACGCTTTAATCGAATTTTGAACGCTGCTCCTAATAATAGGTCGGGCGTTAACAAATCATGTGGTATATGCAACAAGAAACCGAGAATTTCTGAATTCGTTGGACAAGTTTTTAGTAAACGATCCCTTGAACAGTCCATAATGGCCAACCCAATCCTGAAAAATAGTTTCACCCCTAAAAAAGAAACAATTATGATTAACGAGAATGAAATTTTGGCAAACTTTAAGTTTAATTCAAAAACATTCCAACCTTCAAAATAAAATATATCCCAAACGCGTAAAACTGAGGCCCATGGTAAAGTCATAGTAAAAATTGTCATAAACCACTGAGTAATATACATTAGTGGTAGAATATCATTCTCTGCCTAAATTATTTGTAAAGTATAAAATCAATAAATTTTTAAATAAATATTATTGTCTGCTAAAATCAATTTTTAAGAGAATTTTTTTTTAAATCAATCTAAAATTACCAAATGCTGTGCCAACTTTGGATCGTGATCAGCTAATAGTTGCTCAAAAACCATCGAATCAATTCGAACCTGAGATAAGGTTGGTGTGAAATATCCAATCATATATTCTTCAATAGTCGCAACGAGCAACCAAAAGGTGTCTTCAGCTGGCATTTGCATCAACATCATACCAACCAAACGTCCCATCCCCTGACAGTATCCTACCACTGGGTTGTAATGAGCATAAGCTTTCAAAATATTGTGAAGGTCATCTTGCCTATATAAATAATTTGTGAATAAAAAAGGTTTCTTTCTCTCTCCTCTCCCTTTCTCTTACGTACCCAAATCCAGAATCTTCCCGGAATTGAATATGATCTGGATAACAACGATGAATATCTCTTTCAATAACATCGTAAATGGGTAGCTTTGGTCGACGTCGTAATTCCTGCCAAGCGATACCATAAATTTAAAAACTTAAAATTTTTTTTTTAAAAATAAAAAGATCCACGCACCCGAAATACTTACGTCAAAAACCCCAGGTTTCCTGTACTTGTCTGCACCGGCCATAAATTGCCATGCTTTGCCACGAACGGATTCTGGAATTCCAGAACGAACCAATTTCTTGATCTGTAAAATAATTTTTTTCTTAATAGGAATACGCAATCCGAACACAGATTTTAAATTAATTTGTACTTTTCTATTGTCTTGGATCATAGTAGAATTCAAACTTCCAAAAAGTTCAACCCATTTCGCTTCACGTTCACGATACAACCGAATTGTACGCGTAGTCTTCTCTTCTGTACCCGGTGCCTGAATACTAATAATAAAGAACATCGTTCAAACCAATTATTTTCCAACTATTAAGAAAAAGAAAAAAAGACCTTCGTTCCGATACGAACATTCTTTGAATTCTATCAACTCCTGGAGGGATATCCTCTTCCGTGACATCATAAACGAAACCGTATTCATCAATGGCAAGGATTTGATCCTTCTTTTTAGCAGGTTTACTGGATTGTGTTTCTTCGGATTCGGATTCGTTCTTTTCTACAACCTTATCGTCTTCAGAACTAATCTCTTCACTCTCATTTGTACTCAATTGTTCCGAGGGGGTATCAGATATAGGGTCGGAAACATTTTCAACCTTTAGTACAGGAACTTCTGCAATCTTTGACGGATTATTTGATGATGATGATTTCGTTGAAATATTGCTAGAAGACGCGTAAGCAATTAAGTTTTCCTCTGGATCATCATCACTATCTTCAATATCACTATCCTCAAGAGTAATCTGTGGGGTGATTATAACAGGCGTTGGTGCTGGTGTGTTTGCAGAAGTCATCCTACCTTCATCACTTCCAAATTGATGATTATTATTATTGATCATGTTACTAGGAACGAAACGTGGTGATGGCAATGGCGTAGTGGACGTTGAATATCGACCGTCCAACAAAATCTGTTCCTCTTGAATCACTTTTATTTGTGTCAACTTTGGTGAGGGTAAAGGTGTTGTTGATGGAGAATCATGACCGATCGTAGATGCAATGGAAAATTTTCGCTGTGGAATTGAAGAAGGTGAATTTCGTCCAAAAGTCGAACGAGGTGAAGATATTGATTCTGATGAAGTGCTTCCATTAACCGTAGAAGTTCCATTTGGTATGTTAAATTTATGGTTACGTGATTTAAATTGAAAAGATTTAGGTGAAGTTGGTGAATTCAATGGAGAACCAAATATTTGAGAATGTCCTTTATTGTTAATGGATACTGGTGATGATGCTATTGACGAACTTTGTACTGAAATATCGGAGTTTGAGATGCTTCCCGATCGATGATGATCGTCTCGCGACTTTGATGTTTGAGGAACTGGATCATTTGACATTCCCGTAATGTTTGTTGTAACAAGAGGCCTTTCTATTATGACATTTTGCATATTACTTTGGCCGTTACCTGGAATTATCGGAGCAAAATTTTGAGGTTTTCTCGTAATTATTTGATCATTATTACTTGAGTCACTGTGATTAGATTGATTTTGACCGTTGATTGGAGGTTGTTGAGAAATTCTATAAATCTTTCGGGCATTTATAAATTTATCACTTGAAATTAAAGTATGAGATTGTGATGGTGATGATGATGATGATGATGAAGTAGATGTGGATGTAGATGCGGATGCGGATGCGGATGCGGATGTGGATGTAGATGTAGATGTAGATTTTATTGATTGTTCTTGATTTATAACTAGTATTGGGACAGAATTATTTCGACGTGGCATGATGGATTCTGGATTGTTCGATAACTGTGGCATCGTACTTTGTTTACGAGGTGATATTGGTATTGAATGTTCAGATGATATTGATGATTTTCGTGGTGATGGAATAACTCTTGGAGCATTATTTTGATTAAGCGAAAGCGATGAATTGTTATTATAATTAATTTCGCTAGTAGCTGGTATAATATTAATTATAGGTGATGAAGGTGTTGAATTATTTCCTATACCTAAAAAAAAAAAAATTAATTTTTGTAAGTTTTATTAATTTAAACTTGGCAAAAAAAAGGGGGGGAATTAAAACGAGTGGTTTATATAAAGCCCTTAACCCTAGCTAATTTAAGCAATTCAATATTATTATGAACTATTTGAAATTACATGTTTAGCATACCTGATAATCCTAAAATTGACTCATTTGATAAAGATTGAGTTGACCTTGTGACATCTGAAGGATAATGAAAACTTGCCTGTTGGGGGGAACTTTGATCAAAACTATATATCGATGAAATTTTGTTTGAAGGTCTTTCCAATCTCAATGACCTTGGATTTTTTAAAGGTCCATTAAAATCGACCGTTTTACCATTAAATATCCCTATAACATCTTTACAATATCCCTATTTAAACGGAAGCAAAGGGTATTAAAAAAAGTTTAAGAATGAAAGTTTCAGATAATTTAATTATCTAGAACTTACAAGATATAAATCATCTTTGATACGTTTCAGGACGGTTATAACTTCTCCTATGAATATCAAAATAATTAAGATTTTTTTTTTTTTTTTTTTTCAAAGCAGGATTGATCAAGTTTTTCAGCAAACGATCCAAATTATAATCAAGCTTTACCCGTATAAAACATCAAATCATCTTCAGAATTTGCAATTATGTCCTGATTGGCTACGCATGTTCCAATACCGCCTATAATGATTAATCAAGGTAAAGTTTAGTATGATCGAATTTAGAAGAATATTTTCTCTTGATATTTCTTTCTTCCTACTATAAATCCAAAAAAAAGAAAAGAATACCTTTTTTAGCGATATCAAGTAATTTTTCAAGTTTGGCTGGATCTTGTGTTATCATATTTCAACGTTTTTTTTTACTTTTTTTTTTCAATTAATTTTATGTACAGATTCTTGAAATTATCATCAATTATTTTATTTCACAGAATCTTTGACAAAAAAAAACCACACCTAGAGGAAAAGCGATATCTCAAAAATTAGACTTATGATTCAAATTGGTTTCTTTTCTTAAAGACTTTATTTTTTTTTTTCGTTTTTCTCGTTCATGTAAATTTTAGTGAAAAAGTTTACAAACGGGGCTGACAAAAAAAAAAAAAAAAGTTGAGAACGATTTAAGGAACAGGAAGGTTGGGGAGTCTCCAGAGTTAAAGAAGGTGGCGATCTAGTTGGTTGGTTTTAAAAAAAAAGGTTTATTTTGGAACACTTTATAGACCACCACAAAATGAGATTATTTCTCTAATTTTTTATTTGGAAAAAGAAAAAAAAAGATTTCCAAAAGGGAAGGGAGGTTTTATTTTAAAGGAAAATTAAAAAAAGGTTCTAGTTATCTGGCAACCTATAATAGAAAGTGCCCTCTTTAATTCGTAAAGGAGAGAATTTGTTGAAACATGAAACCACGCCTTTTACTAAAAAAGTTTTCTAAATTTACAAATAAAGTTGAATCAATGGAGTTCTTGCTTATATGTATTGTCAATGTGGTGTCACGAACCACAATCTAGCAAATTAAAAATACGGAACATCACAAACAAGAGTTGAAATTACTTACCCAACTCGGCCTAGGCATTACTTTTTTTTTAGTAATCGCCCAACTTTAGCGGCAAAAACACACAAAAAAAAAACTTGAATTCTAAGCCGACAAAATAATAATTAAATAAGGATGATACAAAGTACGTTATCATCCGCCCTTTTGTTAGATTTACAACTCAGAAAGAGATAAAAAAAAAAATAAATAAATGTTTTTGTCATTCTGTCAATTTGAGAAAGTTCCAAAACGGGCAGTTTTTTGACATCCCCCAAAAAATAAGATTTTCTTTGCTTGTGGCAGATCCGAAAATTTTTAAAAATAAATAATTTACAATCAAGTTAAAATCATTTTAGGTTGAAAGGATTCGCTGCGTCATCACCTTTTTTTTTTGATTCCACGTGTAACCTATCAAAATAATAAAAAAAAAAGATTTCGATCGGGTAAAATATGCATCAAAGATCGAAATATAGAAACAATGCACATGCCAAACATTAGTGGAAGAAGAGAAATGGTCATAGCATAAAAAGATACACTGTCCTCATAGAAGAATTCTCTTTTCTATATATAGACTTCAATACCTTAGACTCACTGCGGCATATCTTGTGTTAATTCGAAATCCATTCAACAACGAAACGGAGAGCGATGACTTGACTGAACCTGTCATGCGATGAATGTAATTGGACGCCACTATGCTTGACGTATCTATCGGGCAGTGACTATATCGGTCATCATTTGTCGTCATGCAGTCAGTATCAATAATGATATCGAGTAAAAAAATGCATATAAAATTCTTTGCGATATATCCAAAAGTTGGAGACAGGTAAAATACACTTTAACTAATAAAACCGTCAAAAAAAAAATGAACATTTGAATCCGTTTTATCAAGGAAGTCGCAACATTGATAACGTGGTTGTAAGCATCTGAAACATTTTAAATCGGTCAAAGGTGCCGATATTTGGATGAAACAAAAATTCTTTTCGTTTTCAATACATGTGTGGTAAAATTCCATGGAAAGTACCGGCTTGCTTGTAATAACGATAGATTGGACGAATTATCGATCGAGAATTATGGCCGTTTTTCATAACAGGCTAACGCTTGCCGGAAATTTCCAAGGATACTTACCAAAATAGGGTTAACTGTTCATTTGAAACCGCATATCTATGTTCGCGTGTGACTAGTGTGATATTATTTGCCCACTTGACGGATTTATTGCATTTCTTTGGTAAGGTGCGTTTTTTATACGAACTCATTTGTATCAGTGAGTGTGATTTTCACCCCCAATGAACGTTCCTATTTCCTATCTTCTCTCGTTAAGGATTTACATGGATCGAATGATTGGATGAAATCATGCGCGCGTTTCATGGGAACTTTTTTTTTTTTTTTGCTACAATATAACTAACTTTTCTGAATTGACAAAAGTGCAGAATTTTAAATATGGGAATTCCGAAAAAATTATATGAAAGGATTCCTTCCCCGGTATAATGGGACGAAAAATAAAATGACTGAAACGCAACATTTCCATCAAAGATGAGAAGGTGATATTAACAGAAGCAAAGGTTAAAACTGAGAAATTTTTTTTGAATTTATACAAAAAAAAAAACATTTTTTAAAACTTCACGTTACAATTTTGGAAATTAATTAAATAAATTAAACCTTGGCAAAAGTTCAGCATGTTAGTTAGCATTTTTACGTGATTTTAAATCGTTGATTCGTGATTTTGTAATTACTTTAATTAAATGTTTCGCTAACTTCATGAAATCGTCACCTTTTATTCCTTGTTTTATTGAAATTTTATTTTCTCTGTAACCTGTAAACAATAAATAACAAATAATATTTATTTAATGTAACGAAAGGATTTAATTAATTATTAATCTCAATGCATTTCAAACGAGCAATTTGAGATAAATTTGTTTCGCAGTAGTACTAACGTTTAACGAGAAAATTTTGCATTCGTTCCTCATTATTTTTTTGTTTTTTTTTTTGTTTTAATAGAGATGTGTACCTTTATTTTTTTTGGATAGTATGAACTTAAAAAGAGGAGGAAGAAAAGAAAATCAATGATTAATCATTAGATTTACCAGATTTACAAAAAGCACCTTTCCTTTATTTTTCATTTTAGTTTCGGATTATGGATAAAATTTTTTCAGGAAAAAAACAAAAAAAAAAATTTAATATAAACATGTAACTACTTAAAGGAAAGAACGTTTTTAAATGCATGCGAACCGTTACACGACTCACGAGACCATGATAAAAATAAAGAAAAGTGATATCATACGCCCACCATATCAAAGTTATCAAAAGGTATATTTTTGTTAATTAATTAATCAAGGGGTTTAGAAGTTTTAAATTTAATTAAATTTTTCATTGTTTTAATTAAAAAATTCGATTGTGCATGATTGTTTATATATTACGATGTGACACAAATTTATTTATTTGGTCACCCTGATTTTTTGGATTCGGTAGTACTTCTGTAGAAGCCTAATCCGGTAAGTATCAAATTTATCCCCGACACTGTCGATTCAATTTGGACTCCAAGTTTTAGAGCTTTTCCTAAATAAGGTCATCGCAAAGAATTGTGATGTGGATGAGCTAAATACATTAATCATTTAATTATTCAATTCGCACGATATTTGTTATACATATTTGTGCAATTCGCTTTTATTGTAATAATCATCTATATATCGAAAAATGCTCATAAATCATATAAAAACTCTTCAAAATTCCTCCAAGTGACCAACTCCTCATTAGATATTTTTATCATTGATAAAATTGGCTCATTAAATTCCCATTCCCTCTTTCATTATATCTCCTTCCTTTTTCGATCCTTCTCTCGTTTTTTTCTTTGAGGAAATAAAAAAAAAAAATAGAATAGAATCCTCATTTCTCTTTCTCTCTCATTTTATATACACTTTCTTACCTTTGTACTTAATCAAAAATGAAATTCAATTTACTCTTCACTACCGCTTTCATCGCTCTCTTCTCTAATGGCGTGATTGCTCAAACCCTAAACACCCCACCTGGTGATGCCATTAAAAGTCCAGGACCAGCTCAAATCTGCGCTCAAAATCGAGCTTTCGCACCTGCTGATGGTACCCAGAATAAGAATAACAATGCAAAAGTTTGTGTTAGCACTGTTATCGGACAACTTCCTGCCGTCAACAAGATGGTTTCATCCTTAATCATTAAACCAAAGAATGGTGCAATGATCAAGAGAAATACACCAATCGAATTTGCGGTCAAATCGATTAACCTTGATACCGGTTTCTTCTCTGATCCAAACTTTGATTATTACGATAACCCACAAACGCTTAACAACAACGGAGTCATCCAAGGACATAATCACGTCACCGTTCAAAAACTTAATGGAAATCAAGTTCCTGATGCTAGAATCTTCGCTTTCTTCAAAGGTTTAAATGACGTTGCAAAGAATGGTGTTTTGGTACAACAAATTGAAAACGGTCTTCCCGAACCAGGTCTTTACCGTATTTGCACAATGTCTTCTTCATTCACTCATCAAGCAGTTATTATGCGTAAGTATTTCCTTTATTAAGATAAGATACAATGTTTCTTTTTTTTTTTTTTTATTGATTTATCTAACACTTTGATTACCTCTCTCTTTACTCATACAGCTGTTGCTCAAAGAGGCGCCCAAGACGACTGCATAAGAATAACTATCATGTAAATTTATATAGATTTCTTTGTAAAATTTTCACGTTAAATGATATTTCTTTATTTTTTTTTCTTTCTGCGCTTTGTAAGCGTTCAAGAAAGATTAAAAAAAATAAATAAAATAAAATAAATAAAATATAATGGGGAAATTTGCTTAAATTTTAATAAATATAGTTAATAAAATTAATAAAGTAATTCGATTAAGTGTATTACCTAATTAGAGGGAAATGTTTTAGTAATATAATGTGATGAATCATTCTTTTTTTATTTTATTTTTTCAATTTTTTTTTTTTTATTTACAATAGTTTTCTTGGGTATGGTATTTATTTAGTTTCTTATCTTGTATAATATGTTTTTTTTTTAAAAAAAAAAAAAAAAAAAAAAAAAAAAAAAAAAAAAAAAAAAAAAAGAAGGGGGGGGGGGGGGGGTTTTTTTGTTCTTTTTTTTTTTTTTTTTTTCCTTCCTCTTTTTTTTTT